GACCTACGTGATCCACTGGTACATCTGTCGTCGGGGACACCAGGGGTTCCCCCAGACACCTGCTGCGGCCTCTTCCCTGGGCCTCCTGCCCCGCTAATGATTCTAGAATGAAACCTCACGGGCCATGCTGTCCTTCAAGGAAAACTCTCCTCGCCCAGCCTCCTGAATGAAGTTGTTAGCAGTGTTTTCTTCCTCGGCTTTGGTTGGACTTTGATCAGTTTCCCTAGGAGAAGCCACACCATGAAGCGCCTCACTGTGCTCCCATCCCATTCTCAGGAGAACCTCTCCCTCTGTGCATGACCCCCATCCAAGGGCTGTGTGGGAACATGTCCCCTCACAGGGCGGTCACAGATGCCCACCTGCTTCCCAGAACTCTGAGCTCAAAGGAAAGACCAGATGTCAAAAGGTTTCAGAATCTGAGAAGCTGGCCACACACGGGAGCAGCGAAGATGGGGCTGCCCAGGCCTCTGTGTGGCCTTCGGTCTGGTGTCAGAAAATTGTTCATCCAGACATGTAGACATGCAGACATGCCTCAAGCTGGAGGGCAAGGGAATTCCAGTCATCCAGGCCACCCCTTTGCTGTCCGTGGGGAAACTGAAGCTCAGAGAGGAGCAGCACACACCTTTGAGAGCTGGCGATCCCTGGAGCCCTTGCGAGGCAATTTACTTTAACATTCGGAGACCCTCAGCTTCCCTGTCTCATGGAAGGGGCTGCAGTTTGGGTGAAAATCTGCACTTTGTGCCAAGAGAGCCACCTTGAGGGCTGGGGGGTGGGGGTTACTGGGAAACTAGGCATCATGCTCAAGGCCAAGGCTGGAAACATTCTGGGCTGGAAGGGATTCTGGGGGCCAACTCCCCCACCCCACCATGCCTTCCTGTGCCCGGGTCCCCTTCGGGTGGTGATTTATGCCCTCTAATGGCTTAACCCCACTCTGTTCAGGTGGAGGCGTGGACTGGCGGGGCTCAGACCCTGGCCGGGCCACGCACTAGCAGTGTGGCCTTTGGCAGGCTGCTGGTGTCTGCCAAGTCTTGGATCCTCATCTGTCAAATGAGGAGAAGGTGGCCTCGTCTGGGAGTGAGGGGAGGACCCAGTGAGTCAGAAGGGCAGTGTGCAGCACCTGGAACATTGTAGGTGCTCGGTGTTCAGCCCCTCCTTTGGTGGGTGTGTGTGTGTGTGTGTGTTCAGCCCCTCCTTTGGCGGTGTGTGTGTGTGTGTGTGTGTGTGTGTTGGGGGTGGGGGCTTGTCCCTCTCTCCTGCTAGCTTGAGCTTGGAAAATTCTACAGGCAGGAGCCCGGTGCGGTTCATGTCTGTGTACCCGGAGCACACAGTGGGCGACTTGCCTTCTCTGTGGGCTCCTAACCTCGGGGATCCCCTTTGCGTGTGCATAGGGGGCTGTTCTCCTGCGAGTTACAGTTCTCGAGGACAGCCCGGCAGGCGTCGGTGCCCGCAGCTCCCTGAACGCTGGAAACCCCGCCGACCCGCCTCCTCCGGGAAGCGGCGCCACCTCTGCTCCCCTCTGCGCCCCCCCCATTAACCGCCCCCCGTGCCCTGTGCTTGCCCCGCAGACGCCAGCATGTCTCCGGATGCCACCAAGCCGAGCCACTGGTGTAGCGTGGCCTACTGGGAGCACCGGACACGTGTGGGCCGCCTCTACGCGGTGTACGACCAGGCCGTGAGCATCTTCTACGACCTACCTCAGGGCAGCGGCTTCTGCCTGGGCCAGCTCAACCTGGAGCGGCGCAGCGAGTCGGTGCGGCGTACGCGCAGCAAGATCGGCTTCGGCATCCTGCTCAGCAAGGAGCCGGACGGCGTGTGGGCCTACAACCGCGGCGAGCACCCCATCTTCGTCAACTCGCCCACGCTGGACGCGCCCGGCGGCCGCGCCCTCGTCGTGCGCAAGGTGCCGCCCGGCTACTCCATCAAGGTGTTCGACTTCGAGCGCTCGGGCCTGCTCCAGCACGGGCCCGAGCCCGACGCCGCCGACGGGCCCTACGACCCCAACAGCGTCCGCATCAGCTTCGCCAAGGGCTGGGGGCCCTGCTACTCGCGGCAGTTCATCACCTCCTGCCCCTGCTGGCTCGAGGTCCTCCTCAACACCCACAGATAGCGGCCCGCCGCGACCTGCCCCACCGCCCAGAGACACAGCCCCCCACGGACGACACCCCCGCAAATATCATCTACCTAGATTTAATATAAAGTTTTATATATTATATGGAAATATATATTATACTTGTAATTATGGAGTCATTTTTACAATGTAATTATTTATGTATGGTGCAATGTGTGTATATGGACAAAACAAGAAAGACGCACTTTGGCTTCTAATTCTTTCAATACAAATATATTTTCTTTCTTTTCCTCCTTCCTCCTCTTCTTTATTATTATTATTTGTTTTTGTTTTGTTTTTTTGTTTTTGTTTTGTTTTTTTAAAGAAAATGATACAGCAGAGCTAGGTGGAAAAGCCTGGGTTTGGTGTATGGTTTTTGAAATATTAATGCCCAGACAAAAAGCTAATACCAGTCACTCATTGATAATAAAGTATTCGCATTATGGTTTTTTTTTTTTTTTTTTAATGTCTTCTTTTTAACAAAGAGGGACATGCAGGGCTTCCGTGGGTCTCTGACCCAGCCAGCATCCTGAAACTTGATTTCAGTCTTTTACCAGGGAAAGAGCAGAGGGGATAAATTGAGAACGGAGAAAGGGCGTATGTTTACTGTTGAGGCCAGAGAAGGTTCTTATGTTCGCTCCTGCCCATAGCTGCACTGTGTCCACAGGATGCGGGTGTGTGTCGGGGTGGGGGGCAGGGAGCTTTCCGGGGCTGATGAGGGAGGCTCAGGTCCGTGCCTCCCATCTCTGAACTGTGCATAAGCTGCAAGAAGACACTAATTCTCATCACTCTGGGGAAATGGCCTGAGGAAGAAAGATATAATGGGCCTCGGGCCCACCTGCCACCTTCGAAAACCCACCTAAGCCCCAGGGTGAAGCTCCTTTTAAGACCTAGACAACCCACTCTCGCACCCCTCACCGAGAAGCTCAGAACTAGGCCATCTGGGGTTGTATTTATGATTTATGCAAAGGCAGGTCGTTTCTTTCTACTCTATAAAAGGGAAAAGTTGAGATTCTGGAAGAGCAAATGACTAGCTCATAACAGATCAGGGTTAGAAGTCACATTTAATTGTAGGACCAGAGCCATATTAAATCAGTTTTCTCTCTTGAGAAAACTCAAAAAAAAAGGCTTCCTTGGCCAGATAACTAAGGGGAATGTTACATTGTATATCTTCTTTCTTGGAGATTTACATTAGCATATTAAGTGCTCAGAGAAGTCATGTGTATTATCTATCACAGCGTAATAAATTATCCTAAAACGTAGCAGCTTGAAACTAACATTTCTTATCTCTCCCAGTTTCTTGTGTTCAAGAATGCAGGAGCAGCTCAGCTGGGTGGTTCTGGTTCAGGGTCTCGTGAGGTTGTAGTCAAGCTGTCGGCCAGGGCTGCAGTCATCTGAGGCTTGTCTGGAGCCGGACGACCCGCGTCCAAGCTCACTCACGTGGCTGTTGGCTGGAGGCCTCAGTCCCTCACCACATAGGCCTCTCCACCGGGCTACTCATGACGTGGCTTCTCCCAGAGCAAAGGATCCGAATGAGAGAGACCAGGAGTGAAACTGCCATCCTTTATCACCTTAGCTCGAAAGTGACATGCATCTCTTTGCCATATTCTGTTGATCACTGAACCGTTCTTGCTGACGATGAGGGAGGGGCTACACGAGAATGTGAATGACAGGAGGCGGGGATCGTGGCCACCACATCCTCTGAGAAGTACACCATTTTACTTTGCTTCCCAAAGTTATTTACCAACGGACTCTTTTTCCCACCCCTGCTAATCCTGTCCCCATACCGAGGCATACTGGTGCCTCTGTCAGTGCCAACCCACGGACACACCAGGGCGCCCCACACTGAGGCCCTGTCCTGAAGATGCCCATCGGGGATGCCTGCCTTACTGGGGTATTTTTGGTGTGGGGTCAGTGTGGGGGGCACTTCAGGCTCAGGCAGTTAGCAGAGTGCAAGACGGAACAAGGAGCCAGTTCTGTGGGGGTCTTACGCCTCTGGTCCTCACGGGCAAGTGACAGGCTAAGGGTGGCGGAGTGGACAGGAGCAAAGGGGTGACGCCGTGGGCCTGTTAAGAGACCAGGAGGCATCCGTTGCGTGCAACACCTAGGAGGCAGGAGAAGGTAGTCTTCAGACACTCCTGCTCTGGAGCCAGGTTGCCTGAGTTCATATCTGGTGTCTGCCTCTAGAGTGACCCTGGAGACTTCTCATCAGGCCTCGGTGTTACCATAAGATGGTGTAAGATGGGGCTAACACCGCTCCTGCCCGAGAAGTGGGTTCGAATTGGGAGAGATAAGGTCATCACACAATTCCTGGTCCATCATCAGTGTATATCAGCTGTTGGGAATACAGGGCTGGGACCGGAAAGGGAGGCAGGCCCTCAGATGTTAGGACTAGGAGCTGAGGTGACAGGTGGCCCGGGTGGGGGGTGAGACCCTGGTTTCTGAGTGGGCCAGGGAGGTGATCTGTGCGGGCCTTGGTTTGCTTTTGTTTTTTTTTTTTTTAAGATTTGATTTATTTGTCAGAGAAAGAGAGAGAGCACACAAGCAGGGGGAGCGGCAGGTAGAGGGAGAAGCAGGCTCCCCACTGAGCAGGGAGCCTGACGCGGGACTCAATCCCAGGACCCTGGGATCATGACCTGAGGGGAAGGCGGGCACTTAACTGACTGAGCCACCCAGGTGTCCCTGTGCAGGCCTTTAGAAAACTCTTTGTAGGGGCTTCCCAGGAGGAGGGCCAGGCTGCAGGCAGGAATGAGTGGGCTGAGACCTACCTGCACCCACTGGGGCCCCCCCAGCGCATAGGGCTCACCAACACCAGTCTCTCGAGAGGGACTGTTTGCTCTCAGAGGAAGCAGCCGGTCACCCCATGATGCCTGGGTATGGAAGTAATGATCACAATCCCCCTTTATCAGGGAGCAAGAGGGACAGGGATTGACACTCCCACCCATTTCATAGATGAGGAAACTGAGGCCCAGAGCAGGGAAGTGCTTACCTCAATCCCGGAATCGTGGATGTTTGGATATGACCCGGATTGCTTACTTCCCACCACAGGGTCTACTCTGTGCAGACCAGATAGTGACGTCCTTTTGCCCTGTTCCAGATTCTCAGGGTGCCCACTCAGCCAGATGACAATGATTCTAGAATGAAACCTCACGGGCCATGCTGTCCTTCAAGGAAAACTCTCCTGGTTCCCCTGCCAGGCCCGTTCACTCCCCACCGCCACCCTCAGGCCTGAGCCTCCAGGGCCCCAACCCCTGCCCTGCTGTCCCATAGGTCCAGGCCTTGGTCCTCCTCTGGAGCCCTGAGCTGAGCTGTTCCACGTGAGGGTGGGCAAGGAGTCCCTGGGTTTCTCGTCAGGGCAATGACTGGTAACAGGCCCTGTTGGTGAGCCCTTTCCACACGCTGAGAACTGTTTGTGCCCCTGGTTTCTAGCGGCGTCTTGGCGAGCATGGTCTCCGTCATGTCCCCTCACAGATGGAGAAACCGATGCTCACACGAACGCCGTCATTCGCCCACGCTCCCTGGGAAGGAACAAGCCCTCTGTGTCAGAGGCCAGCTGGGGCTCCTCCTGGGGGCTGCTTGTCACCGGCTGTGTGGGAGCAGGCCTGTCCCTCAGGCAGAGTGGCCAGCATGGAGCGCTGGGTTCCGGGGCCCCGGGCCATCGACCTCACAGCTCTTCTGGTCCCGGGCCTGCCCCGTCCCGCGGCCTCTTCCCTGGGCCTCCTGCCCCGCTCCTGCCTCTTCCAACCTACTCTCCACCCCGAGTGATGCTGTGCGCCCAAATCTGGTGGTGCCCCTCCTCCGCAGGACGGTGACAGCCCTGATGACTCCCTGGACCCTGGGGATGGAGAATGCCCTCTTAGAGTGGCCTGCGAGGCCCCGGCCCGCCTCTACCTGGCCAACCCCCTTCAGTCCTTGGGTGGCCACGAGTGTCAGGGAGAGGTGGCGGGTCTGAGACTCCCCTTCCAGCCCCTCAGTTTACGGGTGGGGAAACCGAGTCCCAGACACAAGAGGCTGAGGGGCCGAGGTCACAGAGGGGCAAGCCCCCCTCCCCCCACTCCCAGTCACGGTAAGGTACTTGCAGTAACTCTGCGGTTTCCCCCAGACCACCCAGGGATCCGGTGACTCAGGCTCTAAAGGAGGCACTTTCTAAACAAGGCCCGGTCCCTGGAGAGTGTGCTGGGACCCTGGTCCCTGCAGGCCCCGGGAAGCGACGACGTGGGTGTGGCTCACTGCCCCCAAACCCGGGAGCTCAGGCCAGGGAGGGGGATGGAGGGATTTTCTGCTGCCGCTAGGCTTTTAGAGAAGGGAGTCCCTCCACTGCCCCCTCTCTCCGTTCCACAGCCCACCCCCATCTCCAGTCCCTCCCCTGCTTTAGTGCCTGGGGGGTGGGGGGGGGTAGAGGGGTTGATCTAGGAGTGAGAGAAACAGGGGAGTGAGCCTGGAGATCTTGATCCATGCTTCAGGTGACAAAACCCAAGGCCCAGAGAAGGGTGTGAGTAGCCTGAGGTCACACAGCAAGTTCAGGGCAGAGCTGAGCCTAAACCTCAGGTCTCAGGACTCCTGGTCAGGTGGCTCCCTGTGTGTTCCGGCCGATTGCATCCGTGCTCTGGAGGGCCGGCACACACCTCTGTTCCGCTCGGAGAACTCCCCTTATGCCCTCCTACCCCTTTCCTGGAAGCTCCCATCCCCCACCCCCCACTCACAGGGTTCAGGGGACTTAGTGGCAGAAGCTGCCTTGTCCCAGTCCTGACTCTGCTGCTTACCAGTTATGTGATCTGAGGTAAGTTACTTAACCTTTCTGTGCCTCAGTTTCCCCATATGAACACTAATAAGAATACTCACCTCCCAGGATTGTTGGGAGGACAAATGAATGAACGCACGTTAGGCACCCAGAACTGGCTTGTGTTAAGCTCTCAGCAAGTACACTTACAAATTAAATTCACTAGTATCATCTGGGGCCTGGAAGGTAGCTCGGGCTGGTAAGGAAAGCTCTGGCTGGGAACTGAGCAAGGATTAAGAACCCAAATCCAGATCCCTTAACTTGCTGTTGGCATCGGGCAATCACTTGACCTGTGCGAACCTCTGCTTCCTCCGTGAGAAAGGACCTACGTGATCCACTGGTACATCTGTCGTCGGGGACACCAGGGGTTCCCCCAGACACCTGCTGCGGCCTCTTCCCTGGGCCTCCTGCCCCGCTCCTGCCTCTTCCAACCTACTCTCCACCCCGAGTGATGCTGTGCGCCCAA